ATTCATATCCAGAAAGTATAATGACATCCTGAGGTCATAAAATCTCAGTCGAGTCTTCTTTTACCCCTTGTCCGATTTGGTGCTGGAATTCTCCCGGAGGAGGCTTCCCTGAGGATGAGACAGGCCCCACAGCAGACAGTGAGAGGCTTTTTCGGTGTTCCACAACCGGTAACATGAAATCGCACAGTAGAAAAGGTCATCAGTTTTCAGATGTCCTGTGTCCTTTTTTATTATGCAAAGGACAAAGTCTCAGCTTCGTGCTAGTTCAGTCTTTAACGCCACTCTAACCCTTGTCACTCCCTTTTCACAAAGAGAAGGCAGTCCCAGAGCTTCGCAGACAATGCCTCGCTGCCATTAAATAGCATTGTTTTGTTTTATTGTTTGCTGTCATAGTTCCCTTCTATTTGTGACAGGCGGTAATGGCTTTCTACCCACAGTGCTGGTATCAAGTTTTCTTTTTACTATCTTCTCAAATGAGCCCATTTAAAAACAAATATTAAGTAATTAATAATACAAGTGGTACAGAGAGATGGCAAATATCCTGAAGGTGGTTTGCAAATGACTGAAGTGTGGGGAACACAGAGGTGCCCTAGGTCAGGCCGACTTCACTTGAATACACCTAGTCACGGGGAGGTCACCACTTCGTAAGGCATCCCTTCTGATACTGTAATCAGTGAAACGTCTCATTCAAATAAAAAAGGCTTGTTTTGTTTTCCTCTCCACGACCACTGTTTTTAAATTGACTATTTTCTACACTATTTTCCTATTCGGCCAAAACTCCTGAGCCCTCAAGGTTTTCCAGCTTCTGTTCTCAATTTGTCTTTGGCCCAAGAATCCCATTAATTGTCATAGACTTTGGGGTATTTGTGGTGAACTGAGCTGTGACGTCCCTAAAGGTCTAATTCTGCCCTGGGTGTGACAGCATTTCTCCCGTTGAAGCTGCTTTGCCTCTACAGGAAGAACTGAGGTCTGTGGTTACCAGGCTAAAGCAGCAGGATAAGGTGTTTCTGTGTGTGCTGTCTCTGCAATTAGCTTCTCCAGCTCCCTCTCTATGCACTTTGGAAAACCAGCCCCTCCGTGTGACGTCTTGATGTTCAGACTTGATGGCTGCCGATGACAGCTGTCTGTTGCAGCCTTACTGGATACCAGGCACCAAGCTGAGAGCTCCACATGCCTTCTCCCACTTAACCCAACAACAGCCCCGGGAGGCATCTGCCATTACTGCCCCCCATTCCATAGATGAGGAAGCTGGAGCTCAGAGAGGTGACGTCACTTGCTCAAGGTCACCCAGCCAGTGAGCAGCAGAGCCTGGACTCCTAAGCTGATCTGTGAGCCACCAAACTCAATGATCTTAGCGTCCGACAAGGATTTCTCATCTCAAACCCTCAGACCTACAATGGGAAGTGGAAGCAGGTGACAAGGGGAGGTGTCCACACTATAACCAGAGACGCTTTGCAGAAAGGCCTTGTTTTCTAAAGTCAAAAAAATGTGCAATAAGTGAATGCAGAGCAGGCTGGCTCTCCGCGGGCATTTGACACCTTGTCATCTTCCCATCTTTATCGTTAGTGATCAAGTGTGTGTGTGGGAGAGAGAGAGAAAAAGAAAGAACCTCTGCTTGACCCTCATCTGGGCAAATTCACACCTCTCTTCTCCCTCAGCAAACACAGAGCCAATTTCCAAGTGCTTTAGACACAATTCTCTTTTTCTTGTCAATATTCAGTCATTTAATTTTTTTTTTTTTTTTTTTAGAAATCTGTGAATGAGCTCAATAGCAGTCTGTTGTTTGACCAGGAGGCAGAGATGTATCTCCCAGGCCTTTTTTCAACATTTACCCATTCAGCAGACATTGCCTGATGCCCTACTGTGTGCCAGGCAGCACTGGCCTCTGTAGGTACAAGGGAAGCTAGATGCGCATTTCTTGCATTTCTGCCCTCTGTGTACATCCCAATAAGTGCTCACCACTGTGAAGGGCGTCAGAGTGAACAGAGCACTGTGGGAGCACCTGCCTGGGGAAGGGCAGAGGGAAAAGTGTTCCCGGCAGGGGGAATAGTATTTGTGAAGGTCCTGAGGCATAAGAAAGCAGGAGGAGCTCACAGAGGTCCAGGATGGCCCATACGACAGGGCTGGCCCATCACAGGTATTCAAAAAGGTGTGAGTGAGTGAATGAATGAATGAATGAGCAGAGTGGATAAGGGGAAGCAGTGGGAGATGAGCATGGAGATGTACACTTAGGCCAGCCATGAGATCTTTGAAGTCTGCTACAAGGAATTCTGGCCTTGATCCTGGCTTCGAGGAAGGGCCATGGAAGAATTCTAAACAACAACGATGTGATCATATTCACGCTCATTCAGAAATACTGGGCCACTGAGCTGTGAATACCTCACCACCCCCCGCCCCTGACACTCTCCAATGTCAGTGGGTAGCTGTATTTCTCCCCAGGGCCATGAGGCAGCTGAAAATGCCCTAGATCCTGTGGAATTGCTTCTCCTATCAGGCATTCCTCTGACAGTCAAGGTGTTTTACACGTGGGGGAACCACTTTGTGCCTGCCTGTTGGCCATGTTCTTGAAACTCAGCTGACAGGCATGACTCTGCATGGATGCTGCAGCGGACCCTTCTCCTGGGTCAACAAAACAACTAACTTCCTATAGTCAAGTGCCATATAATGACATTTCAGTCAATGACGGAACACATATGCAACAGTGGTCCTACAAGTTACTGCCGTATGGCCTAGGTGTGTGGTAGGCTATATCATCTAGGTTTGTGTAAGTGCACTCTATGATGTTCACCCAACGACGAAATCAGCTAACAAGGCATTTCTCAGAATGTATCCCTGTTGTTAAGCGGTGCATGACTGTATTTGCTTTAATTTTGGTTTCTGCGAAAGCAAAGCCTGAGACAAGGACTTGAATGCAGGGAGGTTATTTGGGAGGTGATCCCAGGAAGCAGGAATGAGAGAGTAAGGAGGGTAAGAGAGGAGGACAAACCAATAAAGGGTGCATCATAGAGACTATTACTGTCATGGGCTAACCGGGGTGCAAGCCCTCTGGGAAAGCACTGCAGAACGGGAGGCTGGAGCATCTATCCACGTGCTTCCATCCTCCATTGGGTGGGGGTTGCCCCAGAGGTGTTAACTCCTCCAAACTTGTGGGCTGCAGCTACACGACGGCTCAGAGGCTCCCCAGGCTCCAGAGGAAGACCTGAGGCAGAAGGAGGAGCTGCAGATGCTGGAGTTGGGGCACGGCCAGAGTGCACAGGAGCCGTCCCCACCGCAGCAACTGAAGGTGGAGGTGCGCCCGGAGCACACAGTGTGTGTCACGAAGTAACATTCACCACGTGCCAGATATGTTAACCCACATTTAGACACGCGTTGACTCATTTCACCTACCCCAAAACACTGTGAGTTAATCTTACCACCCCCAGGTGCCAGATGAAGACACTGAGGCTTCGAGAAATTAAATAACTTACCAAAGGCCACAGATCTGGAAGTGGTTTGGTGAATAGGGATTCAAATCCAGATCTGCTTTTGCCGGCATAGCATCTCTTCCTGGAAGTTCTAGAGGAGTCATTCTGGCTGCAGCCACCTTCCCTGTCTCCGAGATGGGAAATTCTACATACCACATAGTCCCGCCCTCCAAGCCACAGATGATTGGACCAGAGGCAAACACCTGAGACAAGCCGCACCAATCAGATTCTCTTATGTGGGAATTTGGGCTTTGGACACTGATCCCGACGGCCACCGAGCATGGAGATGGGGATCCAATAAATTCCAGGGCTGGGACCGCCATTTTGGAACAGCCGTTATGGAATCTGTAAGGGAGAAGAAGGAGCCAGGATGCAGAAGGAAGAAGGAAAACCAGACATGCCGAAACCCATGCTTTTGTGGAGAGCCCGAGAGACATAGCAAGTAGCTGAGCTTTCCCGCTGCTGGATTTCATTTCTTTTCTCTTGAGTTGGATGAATGCGTTTCTGTGTCTGCCAACCCCCGGATGCCCAAATAAAACGCCATCTAAACCAGACAAGAGCCATCACGAGGGCATGTTCACGAGGTGGGTGAGCGTTTTACAGGCAGACAGAAGATCTGGGGTGTCCGTGGGTTTCTGTGTAATATCTCTGCCTGGCCACTTTAAAGAGACAGAGCAGAGAGAGTCTGCAGACCAGGGAGAGTAATGGGAGGAAGGTGTCAAACGCACAGCTACAAAATGAAAGATGCTTCGTTAGGGATTCGGCATCTGCTTCTTAAAAAAACTCAAGGAGCACAGCTCGGGCCTCATCTGTGCCCACAGTTTTACCACTAATGCAGCCGAGGGATGGATTTCTGCATCCAGCGAATTGCACTTCATTTTTTGCCCCTCTGATGGCTGCGATGTAAGACAGCTCGAGAAGAAATTAATACTCAGAGTTGGTGTCAGCCCCGCTGACAGCAGATCAAGGCTAAAAGACAAATTGCTCATTACAGTTCAGGGAGCCTGAGCCGGGAGAAGACAGCCGTGCCGTCCCCTGCCAGTTCCAGGCGGCTCCCACCGGTGACTTAACTTTGCCCGAGGACTCGCCCTTGCTTCTGTTTGCCTTGGAGGTTTGCGGGGAGGCTGCAGAGAGCTGGTTCTGGGTGAGCAGCCCTTTTGGACCTCCTCAGGGCCCCACATTAGCCACGTTTGTACCATGTCACCATGTCAATGGCATGATCAAGCCTAAAGCTCTGGAAAAGCTATTTGTGTGGGTCACCAGTCAGCTGCTCATCCTGGGTCACAGCAGTGGCCCTCAGTGCCCGCAGAACTAACAGGAAGGCAGAGGGCCCGGGAACAAAGAGAAATCAGATGTGGACAGAATCTCTATCACTCTCCTCTGATTTATTATTATTATTATTAATTATTTTTGCTGAGGAAGACTGGCCCTAAGCTAACATCTGTGCCCATCTTCCTTTATTTTATGTGGGACACCTGCCACAGCATGGCTTGACAAGCAGTGCATAGGTCCTCACCTGGGATCCGAACCAGCGAACCCCTGGCTGTGGAAGTGGAACATGCACATTTAACCACTGCGCCACAAGGCTGGCCCCTGATTTTTTAATTTATGACACCGTGACTAGTTGACAGTCACGGAGATCATATTTTGGGGCTTGAGTCCAAAACCCTGACCCAAAAGGCAGATGGGGGGGTGATATCCAGCCTGTGCTGCATTCATTAACCATGTGCCCTGGGACGGAGCTGCATGCATTTGGAGAGAGGGTGGCTTTTTGTAATTTGCACAGAGGTACTGCTTGGATCAGAGGAGGTCCTGGCAACATTATATCTGAGAGCTAATGGCTTATGTGTTTATTGTCTGTCTCCGCCAAGTAGAATGTAAGCTCCATGAGGGCAGGGAGTGTGCTGGAAACATCCCCCTTGCTTCTCCAGGTCCTCTAGCCGCCCTTCTCCCCCCTGCTCTGTGCCCAGGGAGGAGGACCTGCATGTCCTGCGTCCAGGAGCCCCCTTGCTCTCGGGCTTCAGGTCAGATTCAGCCAATAGGAGGCAACGCTAGACCAAAGGGAAGGAGGAGAGAGAAGTCCAAGTATTTGTTCCCTGTCTCTTTCTGCCATATTGATGTGATGGGTTGTGACCAAGGGCTGCAGCTCCTGTCCCGTATCTCCATACAGCTACCCTCTTGGGTTCTGGTCACTGCTCCCTCGCTTTGTCCCTTCCCAGGCTGAAGGATGGCTGGTGCTGGCCCCGGCGTGCCGCCCTGTCCCTTGTAGATTTCTTTACAACCTGCCCAAGCCTTTGTAAACAGTCCCTTTATTCAGCTATCCTCAATTTCCCAATCTGAGTGCGCCATCTTTTTCCTACGAGGAGCCCAGTTAGGATACAGCGACTTTGCCTGATTCATGGCTGCATCCCCAGCACCTAGAAGAGTGCCCAGCACACAGCAACCACCAGTATTTGTTGAATGAATGAACTCTGATCCCAAAAGTGGGGCAGGCCCTTGGTTTCTTGGTGCTTTGTCAAAGGCTCGCCAGCATCCTCTATTCAGCTACAGCTCAGCGGCTGGAAATTGGCCACCAGAACTATCCCTCCCACCTCATCTTTCCATGTTCAGCAGACCCCAAATCTCCCCATTCTCAGCCATCTATTTCAGAAGAAAATTAGACCCTGTCTGAAAAATTTTGCTTTTCTCTCTCTCTAGGGGGGAAAAAAAATGAGTAATACCCTTAGAGAAGTATCCTTCTTGATTTCTTCTGCCATTCTTTTCTTTACCCCCGTTTGCTGGACCAGACCTCTTCTAAATTAGTGCTACTCTGTGCTCCCTCGCCAGGATAATTGCGCTCTGAAAAAGCATGGCGCAACAGAGCCATTTAGTCTGGGGAGGCATTGTGTGGTGGCAACAAAGCCACGCGTCTTCCGGAGCAGCCGTTCAAGGGCTGTTGGGCATAATGACCAGGCGGCAGCATTCCAGTCCTGGAGACGGGGCTGTTTTCTTCCTCCAGGGTTTTGCAGAAATGGCACTGTCAGAGGAAACAATGATTTAATGGCCACATGACAGGAACCTTGAGAGTAATGGTACCCAACCCAGAAATCAGAGCCAGGCAAATGCAGGAGACAGCCGGAAGGCAATTATGATATAGCCCGTGCCTACAACTCTGTCATTACTGTCCGAGTATCGCAGGAAGCCTCTCCCCTCTGGAAGGTCAAATTTGTATGATGCCAAGTAGTTGGGAGAGAAAAGCTGATGCTGGGAGACAAAGGGGGTGATATTTCCTTGGAGAATTCTCCAGAATCATATACAGAGCACCCTATCCTCCTCCTTTCTCTTTCCTTCTCTCCCTCCTCTTTTCTCTCTCTCTCTCTCTCACACACACACACGCACACACACACAAACACACACTCCAATTCAAATGATGCAGCTCTTCCACTTTCCAAACCCATTTCCCACAAAGCTTTGTTTATGCAGGCTGGGAATAGTGACATTGCCTACTAGACAAGTAGCTTTTGATTAAAAACACTGAACTCTGCCCAGGTAATTGTGCTACACACAAGAAAAAACATTTGAAGACCTGAGGAGAAGTTTCTCTTTGTTCCCAGGAAACCTGACATAATGGTTTTAAAAAAAAAAAAAGACCTCTGCCTTGCAAGGTTTGAACAAAACTTACATCTTTACATTCTAGCATTTGCTAGATTTTTCTGTAATGAGCATGTGGAATGTTTCCTATACATTATTTTTAATGACAGAAGTCATAAATGAAATCCATTGGTGTTGCTGCTCTATATAAAAAAACAAAGTCTCTTTTGTCTCTCACTTCCTATGCATCTCCTGTCTCTGGAGGTAAATACTTTTAAGAGTATGATGTGGCTCCTCCCACACCCTGTCTCTGTGGGTATGATTGTGTATATATATGAATCTTTACACATACTTTATTTTGAGGATTATTTTGTTTGTCATAAATGGGGTTCTACCACATGTATGATTTCACAACTTCATAAAACTTAATATGTCCTGGAGATCTTTGCATGGTGGAATCAGTGCATAAAAATTTACCTTATTGCTTTTAATGGCTGCCTAGAATTCAGTAGTATTACTGAAACACAGCGTGTTTCCCTGGGTCCCTACCAAAGCACATTCAAGTCTCATTATTACATGCAATGCTATAATAAAATACTTGTATGTTGCCCGCTTGGACATATGAGCCCATATTTCTATATGGGAGAGACAATTATATCCATTCAGATACTTTGGGCTGCAAATGAAAGACCCATGTGGCTAAACAGCAAGGGCTTTAATTTCTCATGTTAATGAGAAGGCTAATATAGGTCAGTTCCAAAGATAGTTAATTCAGGGACTCAGGATGGACCTAGGTGCTTTCTCTCCATTGTTCTGTTCTGCCACCCTCAGAAGTTGGGAACGCCTCCCCTAGTGGTCACAAAATGGCCAGAGATGTTCTAGGTGACCTGTGCAGACATATCTTCAGCCCTCCTCAGGTCTCATCAGCCAGGACTGGGCTGCAAGCTAACGCGTACACCAGTCACTGGCAAGGAGAATGGAACCACCACGGTTGACAGGGACCATCACGATTCCTCCTCTGCGTCTTGGAAGAAGAAGGGGAGAGAAAATGGATTGTATTAATCAAAGTACTCTCCAGAAAATGCGTACCAGTTTGCAGCCTGCGAATAGTACCTGAGTACCAGTTTCTCCACATATCCATCTACTTTGAATAAGATGTTTAAATTTTTGCCAATATGACAGCCAAAGAGGACATCTCATGGTTGTTTTCTTGCATTTACCTGATTTCTAATGAGACTAATGATGATCTATATATTTATTGTCCATTTGCATCTTCTCTTCTGAGAATTACCCATTTGTATCATTTGCCTTATTTCCTATTGGCTAGTCTGCTGCATTTTTCTTTGTTTGTAGGAGCTCGATATATGCACCCAGGACACACACAGCCGAGAAATTTTAAAAGGTTGTTAGGAATAAAGAACACTTAAATCATCTATCTTTGTTCCTCTTTAGATTCTCGAGGGTTTCTGTAACAGTTCAGGAAACAAAGGAAGAAATTCCATTTCATGGAAAAGGTTATGTTGACATGCTTTCCAAACTGCGTGCTTCAGAACAAAAGTGCCTTGCCAGATGTAAAAATGTAATTTGGGAACCTGACATGAAATGTCTATCTTTCAGAGTCTTAGAATTCACAAATAGCACAGGGACCAGCTCTGTTCTGATCATGACTGCTTCCTAGCTGTGTGACCTCACACCCGTCATTTCACCTCTCTGAGCCTTGTTTTTACTCATTGGAAGACAGTCCTTCAAATGGCTGTTAGGGGGTGTAGCAGGCACATCAGTGCTCTCCCTGCATTCCCTTGGCTCCGGCCATGCTCGTGCACATCCATGGCTTTCTACAGCAGCACCTGTGGCTCCTCACCTGGAGTCTGGGGCAGTCCAGATGGGGCAGCTCTCCACCAATGGCAGACAGATGCTGGTGGATACGTACTTGGGTTGCATTATCTTCAGATGCAACAACTCTGAGGCATGCTCCATACCAAGAGTCAACAAGCTACAGCTCACCAGCCAAATCCAGCCCACCACCAGCTATTATAAATAAAGGTTTATTGGAAAACAGCCACACCCGTTTGTTTGCACATGGTACATATTGTCTGTGGCTGATTTCACACTACAACGGTAGAGTTGTGCAACAGAGACTGGACGCCCTGCAAAGCCTGAAATATTTACTGTGTGGCCATTTCCAGACAAGTTAGTGACCCCTCCTCTATACTGCCCACCAGTGGTCCCAGCAAAACGAGCTCAGATTGCCCACAGTGGGAACCTGCGTGCTCATATGCACACTTTTCTCTTCTTGTCTCACTTCTTTACTGGTGCTTTCTGGGGTCGCCTCCCAAACACGCTCCTTGTGCCCATAAAGCTGTAATATCCTAGGCAGACTTGGAAAAGAAGTAGATAGAATGGGAAAAGGCAGGGGATTTCAGGTCCAGGGTCAAAGCATCTCAAGGGTTAGGGTCCCCCCACTTTGCTTCCACAAATCACCACACACACACACACACATGCACACAAACACACGGCTGATGCATGCACACACGTGCAGCGAGCTTGCCATTTGTTTGGGGCGGCGGTCTTGCTCACTTTCCCATTAGTGGTTGGGGACTTGCAGACTAAATGGAAAATAGAAATGGGAAGACCAAGATGCTTTCTGACCTCTGCACCAAGGGGAACACCCTGCTCTGACTCCTGTCTGGTGAGTGGCCGCATGAAAGAGTAAACTTTCTCCATCAGGAAACATGTCTGTTTAGCCTGTAACTATGCTTATTTTTGTATATAAAATAAATAGGTCATCCAACATCTCTCCTAGAGGGGGAAAGGGCTCCTAATGTCTCATTATTACATGCAATGCTACAGTAATGCCACTCTCAAAATTCAGGGGCAAGGTTCTAGTGTCAAAGGCACCCCACATCTTCCGACCTCCAGACATTTGCACAAGCTTCTCCTGCTATTATTACCCCTTTAATAAATGTGTTCTTGGCATTATCTGGGTCTCAGTTTAGATATCACTTCTACAAAGAAGCCCTTCCTTGTCCTCCTTCAGGTGCCCCATCACCAAGCAGGCCAGGTCCCTCCGTAACACTATGTCTGCTGTGCTTGCTAGGCTTTTCCATTGCGGTACTTACCATAATAACTAAATAAATGTTTGAAGTCTTCCTCTCCCACCAGATTATAAGCTTCCTGGGGTCAGGAATTGCATCTCCCTTGTCTACAGTGGTAGCCCCAGTGCCTGCCACTCAGTTGGTGCGTAATCATTTTTTTAAGTTGATAAATTCATGAATGAATGGATAGAGGAAGGAAGGAGGGAAGGAAGGAATGAACACAATCTTCCAAGAATCCAATGGCCGTTCTTTCAGTTTAAGAATTCCAACATGAGTCACGTGACGACCTCAAGGCGCTCTGTGCTTCTCAAATTCTAACGTGCACACGAATCTTGAGATGTTGTTAAAATGAAGATTTGGATTCAGCAGCTCTGGGATGGGGCCAGGACTCTGCATTTCTAACAAGCTCCTGGGGGATGCACATGCTGCTGGGTCCTGGACCACACTTTGAGTAGCAAGGACGGAGATGATCTTAACCAAGAAAAGTGTCAGGGGAATTTATTTTTTAAGTGCTCATTTTTTTTACCTTCATTCATGTTTATTTTTACGAAAGTTCTAAAAGCAGAAATACCACCAGGCAGGGCAGCCATGCCACCTGGCTTAATTTCTTGGTGTTTAGTTTCAGGCCAACCAGTCAGACCTCAGTACATACGCACGATGTGGTGTGACGCCATTGCTTGATTTGGGTTAGGTCTTACCTGCTCACCTCACCAAAATGCTTAGTTCCGTATGCTTTTACTTTAAAAAAAAGTGAGAGGAGGATGTTAGGATGTTTGTTGAGTTGAACCAAATTCAAGAAGCCTCAGAAAATGAACTGTCACCCAGATGTCTCTGCAGCAGCTCTAAGCCAACAGTGGGACCAATGGCCCTAGTGTCACATTCATGCCAGTGGTGACTTCTTTTTCCAAGTATGTATGTGTGTGTGCACATATGTGTGTGTGTGTGTCTATATTTTTTCCCCAATTTTTTATTGTGGTAAAATACACCTAACATAGCATTTACCTTCTCCGCCATTTTTAAGTGTGCAGTTGAGTGGTATTATTAAATACATTCATATTGTTGTGCTATTATCACCACCATCCATCTCCAGAACACTTTCAATCTTGTGAAACTGAAACTCTATACCCATTAAATAATAACTCCCCATTCTCCCCTCCCCCAGCCCCTGGCAACCACCCTTCTGATCTCTGTCTTTATGAATTTGACTACTCTAAGTACCTCCTATCAGTGGAATCATACAGTATTGGTCCTTTTGTGACTGGTTCATTTCACGTAGCATAATGTCTTCAAGGGTCATCCATGTTGTACCATGTGTTAGAATTTCTTTCCTTTTTAAGGCTGAATAATATTCCATTGTGTGTGTGTGTGTGGTTTTTGGGGATTCTTTTGTTGCTTATCCATTCATCTATTGGTGGGCACTTGGGTTGTTTCCATGCTTTAGCTGCTATGAATATGCTGCTACAAACATGAGTGTACAAGTATCTGTTCAAGACCCTGGCTTCAACCCTTTTGAATGTATATCCAGAAGGAATTGCAGGATCATATGATAATTCTGGTTTTAATTTTTTAAGGAACCGTCATACCGTTTTCCACAGCGGTTATACCATTTTCTGTTCTATCTTCTCTTAACTGCCATCTACATCAGGTGCTTTTAGGATTCATAGACGATATTCTAAGCTATAGACCTGCAGACTTGGATATCAAATTGTTGGAATACCAGGGCTGGCCTGGTGGCATAGTGGTTAGGTTTGTGCACTCCTGGAGTTTGCAGGTTTGGATCCTGGGCACAGACCTACACCTTGCTCATCAAGCCATGTTGCGGTGGCATCCCACATATAAAATATAGGAAGACTGGCACAAATGTTAGCTCAGGGACAATCTTCATCAAGCCAAAAGAGGAAGATTGTCAATGGATGCTAGCTCAAGCCAATCTTCCCTACCAAAAAAGAAAATGTTGGAATACCAGACAATGGCTCAATGCTTTAGGCATGGAAATAAACGTTAGAGCATGGACTCTAATCTCAGACTGATCTGGATTGGAATACCAACTCCCACACTTCATAGCTGTGTGACTTCAGGCAAGTTACTTAACATTCTGAGCCTCGGTTTCTGCCTCTGTACAATGGCAGCAATAATAACCCCACCTGAAAGAGTCGTTGAGAGGTCATATAGAATAGTGTGTGTAAGGTGCATGGTGCAGGGTCTGGCACATAGCAAGTGTCAATGAATGGGAGCTGCTATTACTGTTGTTATTGTCATTGTTGATGCCCAGGAGAAAGCTAAGAGAATTGTGACGTGTAGGTTGAGGGGGCTTTTCTGCGTTAGGATAAGTGATGGTCTGGTGTCTTTTTCTTCCTTCCGAATGCTGGAAAATTGCTCAGCATGGGGTTGCCACCTCCTGCAGTGGGGTCTAGCAGCATGCCAAAGGGTTGCTTGGCACGACTGAGTGCTCAAGACACCCGCCTGTGCACTCTCCTGCTTCACTCCACTGCAAGGCTCAAAATTGCAAAGAACAGGAGCCAAAACTGAGGAAAGGGCCCTGCAAATACTCAGAGATCTGTAGTTTCAAGATCAGCTAACCCAAGCCCTCCTGGTCATGAGAACCACAAACCCTTTCAGAGAAGCTCAATCAAATGGGGGGAATTTATCTTAAGAACAAGGAGCGTCCTGTGGAGTTCAGCGGTAGAAAGGGCAGCGGGGTCTCCTGAGAGTAGTCCCAGGACCTGGGACATCATTGGTCTCCTCCCATCCCTTCATCCCTCCCCACATCCACTCTCTGCAGACCAGCATGCATGAAAGCAGGTTGCTCCCAGGACCCTGCTTCTCTGAGAACTGCCTTCTGCTAGCCAGCTTTGAACTACGGGACACAGTGCCACCCTCTTCAACTCAGCTGCGAGCAGAGGTGGACACTTGACCCAAGCTGAGCCAA